CCAAGAGTGTAGTTTTCGGTAGGTTTTTGATTCTATCAAAAATATTATTTACATTAAAATACTACGGAGTGGTATCATTCATGTATGGGGAATCTAAATATGCGACAAGCTGCTTCAGAGCCTATACTGAGTTTTGTACCTGGCTACCTTTAGCTACAGCATATATTGATAGATCAATTTCATAATATGCTAATTTAAAATAAAAATAAAATGTTAAACACCAGTAAATTAAGCTCCTATTCTGTACACCTGTTACACCCTATTTTTTTATGATGGTGAAAAAATCAACCAGTATAAAGATGTCATTTGTGATAATGATAATAAAGATTTAATGCAAGTAAGGCATTTATAAAATAAGGTAATAATAAAGATTTTATATGGGGGCTTTCAAAAATTCAATACATAGTTTTACAGAAAACGATGGTGAATGTGAAATAAACATACCTAGGGTACCTAGAGTAAAATACAAAACTGAAACTACTCACCTACGTAAATGCTATTGTAAAAAAATATAAATACCTATTTTCATTTGAAATCAGTTTAGTTGTATTTTCTGTTTGTTGTGTATATAAGTCATCAATACATGTTTGCTGAACACATGGATTTGCGAAAGCGATAATATTCCCTTTAACCGGCCTGTCGTAAAATCTGTTCATACTTGACATTTCTTGTACGTTTTTTGGTTTTATTCGTTATTAGGAAGACGTTGCTGCTCACGCCTGATTTGTTTCCTTCTGTCCCATCTTACGACACCCACGGGATGATATAGGGTACTATGGATATACTTACATCGCCACTACATGGTAAAGGATAAGTGAGCTGGTATAAACATAGGATGAAAGAACGAAAAGCATTATTTTAGTCCTTACAAATTCGAAACTCGAATATTACAAAATATTTTTATATAAGTATTAAAGTTTTCAGTGTGTTGGCTGAATTAGAGAATCCGCTATCTCATAACACCTCATGGGTATCGTTAGGTTTGAAAGAGGGAAATGAAACAGCAAAATCTTTCCGATAACAACTTAAAATAACAAAAACTTTAGTAGCCAACCAGCCTGCATAGTTACAACTGTGTTAAATATCCCCCTTATAAGGTGGCAGGCTATGAAAGGGATCTATGCTTAGTCTCCTGTAATAAATTTAAATAAAAAATGTGTAAAAATAAATGCTATTGCGTCCGCGAAAGTTTCTAACAAATAAAAGTACATTTGTTCATTTTCTATGCGCTCCTACTCCATTCATTCGACCACGAACGTTACAATGCATGCCAAGCCCAGATAGTTATTTATTATTCACAAGCACAAACGTAGTTATGTTACATCGATGTTCAAAAAAGACGATTACAAGTGCCAAAAACAATAGAAAAAAAAATCAAATAATTTTCATTGGGTGTTATAACAGCCAGATAGAGTACTAAGAAATTTGGCGTCATTTGAAGTTTGGCTTCAAACTAAATTATTCAGAAAAATCGATAAAATTCCGCGTGAAAGAACATATAGCTAACGTGGAGCTTCGACCCTCCAAGATGTCTGTAGTCTGTAAACATATTCAAGATCGTCCTGCCATTAAATCAATTTTAATGAAACACAAATCCTCGCAAAAGAACACCGATTCCTAACAGGGATGTTTCGCGAAGCTATTAAAATTAAATAACATACAAATTTTAATAGGGAAGATGGCTGGGGATCCTATGTTTAAAAAAATAAATCCATACCCATGCATACTACTATAACTCATGCGGTCAGTGGCGGTGTAAGTACATCCAATACCTCATATCGTCCCGTAGGCGTCATAAAAAGCGACAGAGGGAAACAAACCAGGGAAAAGGCGGTAGCGTTTTCCTAATAACAACAAAAATAAAATAAAAAGTTGTGCTTGTCAACCCGATTGCCAACCGTGATAACAAGGGCAAATATATTCCTATGAGGAACTTTCAGGGGTATGCCTATACTCAGAATATGATATCATACATTCTGCTTTAACTAACCAAATTTTTCTGCTTTTTATACCCATGTATATTACGAAAAAGAAGAAAGAAAAAATAACACCATTACACCCCTTCACAAGTCCACTACTTACCATAGGCCTCATCCAAGGAATACCTCAATGCATGATCCTGTGCCATCACTCCACCTATTAGTAACTGTCCTCCACTTCACTTAACAACAGCCGATCGAGAACCTTTCTTTGCGATGTGATTTCATCCTTTTACGTAATATAGCACTGCATAAAACGTGCGTACATTTGAAGTTGGCAAAAATGGGTTCAAATGTAAAATGAACAAAAAAATTGTTACTTGGAAACAAATTGTTGATTTTCGAGCTAAGCTGTGTAGTATCTTTGTTTCTATTGAGTGACGCCGAAACCTACTTCCAATCTTACGTCATAAGTGTAACATCGAAATCACTTTTGAATAACATGTATTTCTTAATCCTATTCGAAAACGGTACTGCAATTGAAAATCTGCCTGCAAGGGCAAATACTTTTTTAAACTGGAAAAGGCCGATGTCCAGAAATAAACTTTTGCAGACTAACGTTGAAGAAGAGGAATGTTCTAAACACACTTAATAACTTCCGATGTTCTATGCTCTATTTGTATATATGATTTTATTTATAACCATATTTATTAATGTCTACAATATTCAGTTGTTGTTAGTGGTCTTTGGTTAAAATCTTAGAGAACAGTAATCGTGATCACATTTAAGTAAAGACATGGCCTTAATTGTCCAAAAATGGAATGTCGAGAGCAGTTTACTTTTATAACTAAAGTCTCGTAAGTGTGAAAGCTTAACAGCTAGAAACAAAAGAGACGTTATCAATGGAAAGACATAAGAATATATTTCTTAACGTTTTTAGAATTTTTCGTAGCTCTGGATTTTTTTTAATTAAAAAATATATGTTACCAATACTTTCTTAATTCATAAAACCCAGTGCCTGCTATTAGGTGGTGAGTTAGCCCAATATGGCAAAGCACACTGCTTTTAGCTTAATAAAAACCTTTTTACTCTTGTCTTAAAGACACAAATATTGCCATTTGACTGACGATCAATTGGCCAATTATTGCATTCCTTTTCTATACGCAAATTAGACATATTTTCTATTCAAAATATACCCTTTAGATGGAACACAGCTGTTCAAACGCTCTTTTTTGGCAAACATAGATAAGAGGTTAGCCTTTTCCTTATTATGTGTATTGATGAGCAACACACAGCATTTTTAAGGGTTTATTTCCAATTCATCATAATTGCAAACTACTAACATTTCTAATGACGCTGAAACCACGATATACTTCTTGAGACTCCCTCACGAATACATCTTTTTTTAACCGCCCTTTAAAGTCCACTGCTGATTATAGGCCTGCCCATATAGTTTGTTTCATAGGGGGATTTCGCCATAGTTGCCACTTGGCTACCACTGTTTATTTTTATAATTGTGAGGAGTTATCAGAAAGATGCTGATGTCCGTCTCCCGCACGTGTTCTTACAATAAGTTAAGAATGTTTGTAGCGTCGCTCGAAATCTACGCAGCCCACCGTCTATCTTACTTTGTTGATCTGAGACAGATAATGTAGACCTCACCCAATAAATATTATCTGGGTAAATATTTACCTCAGCTTGCACGTTTCTAACTTCCCAGTGGGAAGGGGTAATAATGTAATGGGTCCAATTTTATTAATTGGAAATTTTAACATATCTCCACGTTTCAAGGTCTTTAGAGTCGAATAGTATGGTTTTTAAAATGGATGGAAGTCCGGGTGTGCACATGTACGTATGTATGTATGTTCGGATTCAATTTTCGCCTCGTTTATCTCGAGAACAAAGAGTGATATTGACAAGGGACCAGTTTCATTATGTAACTTAGACTTCATAAAATTTTGTACAAAATCAGTCAAGGCGTTTTTTGTGCCAAATTAAAAAATTAATAAAATATTAAAACATATGATATTTTTTATTCTTACCACTGGAAAATTAGTCGTGTGGACTTTTCGGGCCGCACATAGAAAGAAGAAATAAAAAAATAGTTTCAGATTGTATTCCATATATTATATGTATCGAGTAATATACGCGAAAGTAGGTTAAGTTGCAGCTCTCAGTTAAACCGCGTACATTTACCTAATTTATAAATTATATGGGATTCACTAACCGCAACTTAGTTCGACATAATTTAACATAATTTTTTAATATAATTTTAATATTTGAATTAATTATATTAATATATCTTATTTTTTATATATAGGGTTTATATTATATTATTTTATATCGAATATGGTGACGAACGAGGGACATTTCACCTGAAGATTGGTAGATGCTGTGGTTCATAGACATTTTTTCTCAACTAAGAATTAAAATGCAGATGCGTTGTCACCAAAAAGGCACGTATGGCAATTCACAATGCTGTGTTGGTCCCTACTTTAACATATGGTAGTGAAAGTTGGGTGTGGCAGAAGAAGCACGAGAGTAGAATGAACGCAGTAGAAATGCGGTCGTTAAGGAGTATGTTAGGGCTGAATCTTAATGACAGGGTAAGAAATTGTGTAATAAGAGAAGAGTGTGGTTTGCAAGATGATGTTGTGACCAGGATTAAGAAAGGAATGCTTCGGTGGTTTGGTCATGTGGAAAGAATGAATGAGGAAAGAGTGACAAAGAAAATTTATGTTGCAGAAGTGAATGGCAGAGTCGGAAAGGGACGTCCTAGGCGAAAATTTATCGACCAAATTGGCGATTTATTGAAAACGGGCCAAATTAGGAGTACCCTTAACCGACGAGCATGTATGCGGAGGTGTATGGATGTGAAGGAGGCGAGAGAGGTGTGTCAGGATCGTGCCAAATGGAAGTCTGTAGTCTCTGCCTACCCCTCTGGGTGACAGGCGTGAGTGTTTATGTATGTATGTATGTATGTTGTCACCATTGGGGACCAAGATAGAATGCCTCGTTTCCAATAAAAAGGGTACCCCGTTCTCTACACTCACCACATGAAACAAAGCATGTATATATTAAATGAAACTTCCGGGGTTCACAATTCTCATTAGACTTGGTGGTCTAGGCATCCGAAGAGTTTTCAGCGTAGCACTTTCGGCTCTCTTGTCTTCAGTCAGCACGACAAACCTCATTGGAATAGTTACTAACCCATCACTCGATGATGTAGACGTCTCGTGCTTGGCTGCGGCCAAGGAACCCTGGATCAATAAGACCAAGTCAAACTCAGCTTCGCACAGGCATTGCGATGAGCCGCTCAGTATCCAGGTTCAAAGAAACCTATTAGAAAACTGCGAAAACCCTACAGAGCGAGCTCGTCTTCTAGCATATGTGGAGAAGGAGTGAGGCTATTGGTAGAATGCGCTGCCCTAATCGAATATCGGAACACTCTTGGACATTACTACTTTCTCCCTTTCTATCAGTCTGAGATTAGGTTTAAAAACCAATGGGCTCCATCGCTGCCGCTGTGGTAAAGAGGTCGACATTTTTGGCCACCACGGCCTGGCATGCCAGTGGAGGTCTGGTCGCATCCCTCGCCATGCAGCCATTAATGACGTCATTCGACGGGCCTTAACCAGTGCAAACGTACCTGCAATTTTAGAGCCAAGCAGTATATTGCGAGACGATGGCAAGAGGCCTGACAGAATGACGCTCATTACATGGAAAAATGGGCGCTCCTTAATATGGGATGCAACTTGTGTTGACACATTAGCGCCATCATATCTTGCAGCGACGGCACAGAAGGCAGGCGCCGCTGCAGCTGTTGCTGAGTCTAACAAGCGACGCAAATATGTAGCCCTTGGAGAGGGATGCATATTTGTTTTGAAACGCTGGGGTCGTGGGCTCCTGAAGCAAGACATTTGTACAGGGATATCTCATTTCACCTTGTCAATGTCTCTGGTGACCCAAAAGCTAGAAGATATTTTGTTCAGCGGATTAGCCTCGCAATACAGCAAGACAACTCAGCCAGTCTTCTGGGCACACTACCAACAGACGGCAGCAACTTAGTAAGTTTTTTTGTACTTAAGTTAAGCTTAATGCTATGCTATTCAAATCTAATATAATCTTTTTCGCAGAATGTAAGTCATTCAGGAAGTCTGCAGTCTGCGAACATGTTAAAGATCTTCCCCACCATTACATTAGATTTGATAAACCACAAATGCTCGCAAAAGAACACCGATTCCTACCTAAAAAGGATGGGTGCTGCCATCTGCTTGGGATCCTATAATTAACAAAATTAAACCCAAACCCAAGCATACCACTGCAAGACTTCATGATACTACAAGCTCGTTTTGCGTAAATCGGAACAAAAATTAATAATCAAAAACTGAAGGTAGCCGGACTAACTATGACATTGGGACGTCAAACATCTCAGCCCCCCCTGACCATGGATGCTGTAAAGCACCCGAAACGTCGGGATTGTAAAAAGAAATTAAGTTGTAATTAAACGCGATAAAATCCGTAAATAATAATTTGATTTAAGTTAAGCTTAAGGTTTCAATTTGTTTGTGTTTTTTTTTTTTTTTTTTGTTCATGACAACAAATTACTTTAGCTTAAGCCCTTATTGGTGTTTATGTTATAATCTAAGTAAATTAATAAATAAAGTAAAGAAGCTTCACGATTACTATCATCATCAATCCCTAAAAAATAAAGTTAGGAGAATAGAATTTGTAATATATATTTTCACGATCACATTTCTTTAAAAAATATATATATACTTAACCCGAATCTTATTCAAGAAAATTCCAGAATCAATTTTTATGGATTTTTTGTCTATTAACTCCCATTTAATAGTGATGACAGCATAAATCACTGAAACTGCCACTTAAAGAAAAAGCAAACTCAAATTAATAAGGCAAAAAAAACCAGCCTGATTTTGCGCCAAATGACCGGGAAGATAATTAATTTTGAATGAATAACCATTAGCTTTATAATATGAAGCTATAAAACTGCTATAAACCTTTGTGCCATTATTTGATGAAAATAATAAGAATAATGAATTGCATAGGGTTACCAAATGGAATATTGAAATACCCTGACAAATAATAACCTGATTTCCAAAAATCCTGAATTTTTTTTTCATAGACTAATATTCCCAAAATCTGACTGCAATCCTGACAAAGCCAAATCCAATAGCACAAAAACCACGACATGTCCCTGTTAGTGGAAGAAGCAGTGCCTGGCTTATATTGTCGCAGGGCTAACCTAAACTTAAAACTAAAACTTACATCTACACACATGGAAACTAATTCAACTCACATACACAATGCGGTGTGCACACACACACGTACACACGCACACATACACACACACACACACACACACGCACACACACACACACACACACACACACACACACACACACACACACACACACACACACACACACACACACACACCACACACCACACACACAACATCATTTATGTGCGCTTCATATCCTTTTTGTATTTTGTGCTTTTATTTTGTTTTTTATTTCTTTTATTTTTGATATCATTTGCATATTCTGTATAATGTTAAGTGGAAGAGCGGAATCAGCTAACACAAGCATCTCCTTTCTTAAAAAGTGTTCTCCAAATCATGTTTGTTAAAACATTGTGTAATTGAAATAAACATTTATTATTTTAATTTTAATATCAGGACAAATTATGACATATGGCATTTCTTAGTGCACTTTTTTTGTGTTTTCGTACAATTTATCTCCCGCTAAACTCTGACTTTTTTATAGAAGTAGGGTGACAAACGAGCACTCAGTCCATCTGATATTAAGTAGATGCTGTGGCCCATAGACTATATTTATCAGTAGGAATCAAAATGCAGATGCGTTGCCACCCCTGAGGACTAAGATGGAATGCCTCGTTTCCTGTAAAAAGGGTCTCCGGTTCTCTACACTCATCATACGAAACACAGCGGCAGAGAACAGCTATTTTACGCTGGTATTCTGTGAGAGCGTGGTCTTTCCCCGGTTGAGTCGACCCATTCATGCTACAACCATAATGTAGCTGCAGTACGGCTACACACGTGTTAAAACTGTTGGATATTGTTCTTTCCTGTTGTATGTTGTGCTGCATCGGTTTAGACTATTCATGTCTGCCAATATAGCTATATAGCCATCCATCGGAAGCCATGAGGTCTTTCTTACATTACCTATAATTGCGACTCCTACGGGATGAAATGGGTGATGGATTCGGTTCCGCCACCACAAGCTCGTTTTTATATTCTATTTATTTAATTTTTAGTGCATGGTGTTATTTTTTATAATATAATTATGTGATAAAGACATGCAGCAGCCTGTATATATTAAGTGCAGCTCGATTGGTTTGGCATGACTTGAGAAAGCTTACTCTCTTACGAAAGCTTATTCCCTCATATAATACTAGGGTAAAACAGCATAATTACTGTAAACTGCAGCCAGTTATCATAAGATAGGCTGTGTGTATTCGTTTTTCCCTTTAGTTTTATGAATAAAATAAGCCTAAAGCTAACAAGGCGTCGGCACTTTTATTCCTAATCCACAATAGTTGACGGTGATAATGAACGTAAACATTTGCTTACTAACAGGTGTACACAAAGGGGGATGCCCACTGTTCATAGACACTTCGGCCATGGGTGCCCACATATAAAAGCATATGGAAATGATAATATGCAATTAAAATAATGAAATGGTTAAGGAATTGGTTTAAAAAAGTCGGGATTTTTATGATATAAAGCTTTTTATTTTCACAATTACAGCTTTTTAACGACTACTTTTACCAATTTTATTGCTTTTAATTTCTTTAACTTTTAATTCCCGACGCGTGATTTTTCTTTTGGAGGCCTATGCCAAAAAGGCACACCGAACAGAGGGACTTACTTTAACTAGTATTACAATAGGAACTCAAACACAAATATTATGTAACCCCAAAGTTCGGAAATAAATGGCTATATTATTATTATACTATTATTATTAATTCCTGAAGTTTCAGGTGCTTTATAGCACCCATGGTCACGGGGTACTGAGGTGACTGCCATCCCAATGTCAGTATTGGGACATGGAGTACCTTCAGCTTTTTATTATTATTTTTATAGTCCAATCTACGCAGATTGAACTTACTCTATCTTTAAGTCTTGCAGTGGTATGCTTGGGGTTTGTTTTAATTTTATTAATTATAGTGTCCCAAGCAGGTGGCAGTACCCAACCGCCTTCTCTACTGAAATTAGGATGTTTTTTTAATTTCAGTAGCTTCACATACCATCCTTGGTAGGAATTAATGTTCTTTAACGAGGATTTGTGGTCTATCAAATCTGATGTATGTCTATCTGGTTGGGGTGACACCCTTGACATACGGTAGTACAGCAGGCACACGCTCAACTGCGGTCGGCTTCACTCGGTCACTGTGACGAAGACGTGGGACCCGAAGCTTGATTTTGTACAGAACCTGCTTGACGTGCTGAAGCTCCGCGGCCAGGTGCTTGTTCTCACAGATCCCATATGCTCTCTGTAACAAAGATTTGCTCATGGTAACTAACTGTGAAGGATTATGGTGAGATTCACCGCTTAAATATCAGTTTGTATGGGTCTTTTTTCTATACACAGTGTGACCTATGATGTTGTTAGGATTTTGGATAACAAAAACATCTAGGAAAGCTAAGAAATTATTTGCCTCAGATATAATATCATAATTACTGAATAGAATTTGGCACAGAGAGTGGTAACGATGGATAAAATTCATAGGAACAACATCCTGATTTAATATTTCTTGGGCCATATTCATGAACCGCTCTAATTTGTTTCTTGGTACTTGCAATAATGCCTATATGCATTCATCACTATCTCCTGTTCTTACTTTTATCAAATATACAGCAAGTGCAAAGCATCCACTATGTTTACTTGACATTTTGGGCACTTCAGACAGAATTTATTGGCATTGTGCCTTTGATAAGCGTAGATAATAATGTACAGTATATTCGGGCATATTGTAAATATTTTTAAAGTCTATATGATGGTAAATATTATCTTACAATAATGTAGAAAAATCTATAATTTGTGCTACACTAAATGTTTTAATATGGTTATATATTAATTCTAAAAGTAAATACCAAGAGTTACTATTTAAATGGTAGTTACTGATTCTACATTCTGGAGGTACATAGTAATTGTATTCATAAAAATACATACCCGCAATGCTGATGGAACAGTGAGTTGATTGGAATTGTTACAACCAGGAAAAAACATTGATTTTGTGTGAGTGGTGCTCTTACAAAATTAGGCAGCAGTATATTGTATGATGTATGATCTAAGCTTTTTTGTTCTAGGTTCAATACATTACTCACTTTAGATTGCTACAAGGATGGACTAGATGAT